TTTACCCTTTTCCTCATCATACTCCAGCCATGGCCATTTTGTTTTCCTTTGTGAAAGAAACATATGTTTTCGCTGGGTATCATACTTCTTGTTTTTGGTTTGAATTTCATCTGCAGCAGCTGGCCCATCTAATATTATTTCTTTTCCTGTGTGAAGTTCAAGACTCTGAGAAGCAAAATCTCCTGAAAACGAGATTTGGAGACCTATCCGAACTGCTTCTAAGATTTTGAGATTGGGCCAAATTTTTTTGGAGACCCACGAATTTCGAGGAACCAAGCTTCACCCATACAAGTGGCCTGCTCAGCCTGATCAATGCTTCTCTTTGTTTGTGTTCACAAGTTAAACAACAATAAGGAAAACACATACCTTAACTGTGGCAAGTTCCCTTCCAGCAGAGGAAAAAATGTGAATGATGGGTTTATTAATAGCTGAAAATTTTTAATACAAACAAATAAAAACCTTCCCTCCAAAAAGGAGATGAGGGGGGCTGTAGGAGCAGGACATGTAAATATTCAGGTCTACCGTCCTCACCCCCCATGTATGTAATATATATGTAGTATGTAATAATGGCTTTATTCAGCATTTCTACTAGGTGGCTCTTTATTTCTTTTTAAACTATTACTGACAGTTGAACATCTACATGCAACATGGGACTGTGGGTAGAAAAATATAGTATTGTATTAATTGCATGTTTTATGCACTAGCTGTTCTAAAATAATTAGAAGCAGGATGTTCTTCAGAGTTGTTTTCTTCCTTTAAATTATTTTCAGCCAAATCCCTTGACATGTACAGACGGTTGATTGAAACAAAATTCTGCTATAAATTATATTTATAGCAGCAAGAGTCCATTATACTAAAACAGTCACAGAATTTTGTTTCAATCAACTGTTTTACAAATACCCGTAGATAAATGCAAGTAGATGAAATCCTGTCTGTACACCTGGTGGGTTAAAAAACACTTAGAAGGAGTCTGATGTACTTACCTATTGGACCACCAAAAGGTGCCGCACTCACAATAAACAAGGATAGATCCACAGCGTCTTGCCACTCCATACTATACAGCTCTACTTTCCTTTTGAAGAAAGACACACTTTGTGACGGAAACTTTTGATGTAGTTCAATATATTATGGCTACAGGATGTACATTTAAAATATTTCTCCATCCCTGACTGATTTGCTTAAATTCCATGGCTGCCTGAGTATTTCTTTTCGGACGCCAGCTGGTTATTCTCAAAAACTGAAAGATGTTTGCTTTGATTTAAAGGCTGGTGTCAAAAGTAAAGTCTCAGACTGGAAAAGGTAAAAAAGATTTAAGGCACACACAAGCCAAAGGCCCAAAATGGCTGGAATTTCTCCCAGTTGCCTTAGCATAAAGCATGCTACTCCCCCCTTAATGGGATGCTAGTTCATCACGTGGTTACCTCCTGGCAGTGTGTGTTGGCAGTATCGATTTATACACCTGTGTGAGGAGCGACAAAGTGGAGTAAGGTTCCATATCTAAGGAATCAATTTGACAGGCAAGGATTGAACCCTGGTCCTCCAGATCCGGAGTTCAAGGTGTTAAGCATCCTGTCAGACACACCTCCAAACTGGAAAAGGATACACACAAATCAAGCAAAGAAGCAGAGTGATGGTTTGGCTGTTTTGGTGATAAAGACCAAGAGTAAATGGTGGAAGATTTCTTATGTTATGGGTAGATTAACACCTGACTCGCACATGGAGGTTAGGTGCCTACAGGTAGAACCTAGGGAATGGAGCCGCCAACCCCTAATCCAGGTAGCAAGAACACCCCACAAGCCTGCCCTACTTAAAACCCAGCCGCGAGCCCCACCAGCCACACCCAGCCCCAGCCAAATAAGAGGTGAGGAAAAAGGGGAAAAACACTAAAACTGAGTAACACTGAGCAAAACACCCTGAACACTATGCACTGTAAAACTACTAGTACATGCAAA